TCAACAACTGTGTGCCTATCAAATTCAAAACACAGCTATCACACTGTATCACACACTCTCACCGAATGGGCATAGCCTTCCCCCATAAGGGATAGAGTGGTATAAAAATCGATCTTAAATTTTGGAATCCCCAATATTTTTGATATTCACACGTCTGTCTTTGACCCTGAAATAACAATATACTCCTTAATCAGAACGTATTTTATACACTATTTACATCCTGGCTCTCTGGCTCGCAGTGGACAAATTACTTTGTTGAGCTTCCACGTCTTCATCTATGAAATGAGGCTAATACTTAGCTCGCAGGTGAGCATTACATGAATTAGCATAGATCAAAGTGCCTCGTCTTGCAGTTTTCTTACACGACATCATTGTGAGTGCCAGGTCCTAACTGGCAAACAGGACATGACAAACAAATGTGCTGTCCCGAGAGGAGAAGCTGGCTCAGCTGACTGAGGAGATGCCAGAGGAAAATGGGACGAGCTGGGGCTTCAGGGGAGCGTATAAAATGAGGTGTTTCAAGAGGAGGGAATGTCAAAAAGTGTACATCAGGGGACTGGCAGCGAAAGCGTACAAGGAGACATTCTGAAGTTATGAAAACGTCTGTATCATGACTGAGTGGTGGTTTCACAACTGTTTACATCTGTCAAAACTCATTAAACTGAATGCATAAAAGTGTTGATTTTTATTCTATGTATGTTATACCGTAATAACTCTGGTTTCTAGAAAGCATATATGTCATGAAGGACAAAGTTTTTTTAAAAGCAAGGGTTCTAGATGAAAGGGCGCCAGAGAGCTGTGACAAGTGGGTGATACGTGGTCTCTGGGGTCTGACTCCGTCCCCACAAAAAGCTGTTGAGAGTATTTTGGGGGCAAACTGGAAATGTGAATGGACTCCATGTTAAACTGTACGGTATCAATGCTAAACTTTTTTTTTTTAATGTTTATTTCTTTTTGAGAGACGATGGGGAGGGGCAGAGAGGGAGACACAGAATCTGAAGCAGGCTCCAGGCTCTGAGCTGTCAGCACAGAGCCCGACGCGGTCTCAAACTCGTGAACCGTGATCTGAGCCGAAGTGGGATGCTCAACTGACTGAGCCCCCCAGGAGCCCCTAAACTTTTTTTTAATGTTTACTGATTTCTGAGACAGAAAGAACGTGAGCAGGGAAGGGGCAGGGTGGAGGGTGCACCGAGGATCTGAAGTGGGCTCTGTCCTGAGAGCAGGAAGTCAGATGTGGGGCTCAAACTCACAAACCACAAGACCGTAACCTGAGCTGAAGTCGGACGCTCAACCCACTGAGCCACCCAGGCGCCCCAAACTTATTTTTTTTAAGCGTAGTCCTTTTCTTGTGCTTATGTAGAATTCCCCTTGCTTAGCAGATGCGTACTCAAGTATTAAGGGGTAAAATGTACAAATGTCTGCAACGTAGTCTCAAAATGGTTCAGAAGAAAACACACGTGAGTGTGGAGGAGGGAATGGGAGATGAGCACATGGCAGCAGCGAGTACAAGTAACGCTTCCACAAGTGCTTCTTTCACGGGCAGCAGAGAAGGAGGACATGGCGCTGGGAGGCCCGGTGTTCAGACCTGGGTACAGTGACGGGAACGAGCAGCCGCGAGGAAGCTGGCGGCGCAGGACAGGAAGGGTGCCAGTGAGGGGGCAAAGTCCCTGCGACTGTGGGAGGGGCTGGGACGCAGGGTCCAGAAGGGAAGAATCCCCTCACCTGACGGTGATGACGACGACGACAACCGTGACAAAGGGGCACGAACGACCAGGCAGAGAACAGCCACTGTTTAAAGTACTTTGACTCATGTCATTCTAACTCGAATCCCTCCTGTCACAGAGGAGCAGCAGCCACGGAAGGATGAACTGACCTGCCCAGTGACGCCTGGCCAGCAAACTGCAGACTGAGATTTAGAGCCAATGGGAGAGACTTTCTCCCGGGGTGTGCAGATGCACCTGTGTGTCGTGGGGGGCGGGGGGGGGGTGGCAGCTCTTCTGTGAGCGCCCCTGTCATCTCGGGCAGCATCTGCGGAGCTCAGGAGCTGAGGGCGTGGGCAGAGGGGAGGCCGCAGATGGGGGAAGCGAGGGTGAAGATCGCTGCGTCACACACAGGGCAGGTGACTTAACTCGCAATGACGAGCAGTGCTGATGCTCCTTGGGAATTAAATGTCACAGACTGGCTGTGCATCTCCTTGTCCTGACTAGATGGTGGTATGTTCTGGCAGTTTCCAGCTGCTTGAGGCATAGAGAGGGGAGGCATGGGGAGGGCAGCTGGGCTCAACTAGGGTGGGCTTTTTACACACAAGCGAGACCTGAGGAAAAAGAAGCCAGAGTAAAGGGGCTCGCGAGAGAGTGGGCAGAGTGCAGGCTGTGGAACCAGGGCCGGGGAAGGCGGGCTCTGTGACCACTACGGGGTGACGGGTACAGAAGAAGCGGTGGGCTCAAAGGACCAGAGACCGTGAGGTCAGAGGAGCTGGCTCGTGGGTTTCCGTAAGAGGTAAGGACTCGCGGGACGTGTGGACATGGGCCTTCAAGGGCAGCGCTATCATGGACGGTGACAAGGTCTGGAGTATGACCACGTGGATGGGAACCAGGGGGGTAAGGGCGCGGGGGGGGCGAAGGGGGACGGCAACCAACAGGGGTGAGAGGAGTAAAGCCTGGTGTTAGACAATTTAAGATGTTAGGGGGACAGAAGGGGACAGGAGGAGAGAGAATCTGGAAGTTGCAGTGGGGAGCAAGGACACACCGCCCCACCTGCAGGCTCACAGGCACATGCGGGGGAGGGGCAAAATGGGAGCCTAACGTGAGCATTATGCTCAGAGCAAGCCGTGAAGGCACCGGCCAGCACGGAGCCCGGGGACGCCACCCGGTGCTCAGCACACGCTATTCACTCGACCAGTATCTCCTGAATTTGAATCTTAACTTTTCAAATGGCTTACCATATCCTAAAAAGGAAAACAAAAACAAAAACAAAAACAAAAACCCTGAATTTATTTACAAAGAAATCCAAGCCAGATTAAAAAGGAAATGATCCTCTAAGTGATTGTATTTTTCAAATCCATGAAAGGCTCGTTTGCAAAAATTAGTCTCCTGGCCAAGATAAACAGGGTCAAACAGCATCTTAACTGTTTTTGGCTTAATAAATATGGATAACTCACTGTTATAAAATGACACCAGGCATTCTCTTGCATAAGAACTTAATATCAGAACAAAATTCAGTGAATTCTGTCTTTTTGAAGGTTAGATAACAGCCTTTCTGAGCATACAGTGACCAGAACTTAAACCTATTATGGTTCAAGCAGAGAGACCTGTGTACCTATGAAATAAGAACAAATGGTTATTTCCTAAACACATTCTGTGGGGTGTGAGTATACACTCTGGAATATACTGCGCTTGAAGTAGGAGCAGGAATGCGCCACAAAAGCTTTGGAGCTTCCTTCACTGAAGGAAGAGAAGTTCTCAGTGTTACGGTTTGTTTGTTTTTTAAAAACTTGTTCTAATGTCTTTTTTTAAATGTGTATTTATTTATTTTTGAGAGAGATAGCGTGCAAGAAGGGGAGGGGCAGAGAGAGAGGGAGACACAGAATCTGAAGCAGGCTCCAGGCTCCAATCCGTCAGCACAGAGCCCAATGCGGGGCTCGAACCCACGAACTGTGAGATCATGACTTGAGTCGAAGTCGGATGCTCAACCAACGAAGCCACCCAGGCGCCCCTGCTCTAATGTCTTTGTCAGACTAAGAAGATGTCATAATTCTTTTAGACATTAGCAAAACAAAGGTTTTATTTTAGATCTATGAAGCTGCCTCCCGGGCATTCCTAGTAAGCGGTCTGGAATCAGCTCATTGAAATTCTATAGTCCTCTATGCTCTTCTAATATTTTACCTCTAAGACAAAATTTTACTGGGATTTATCTAGAATCTCAGAGTCTTTTTTTTGTTTGCTTGTTTTAATAATTGTATTTGGCTGTTTAACTATGACCGTCAATCAGAATGTGAAGCGACGCAGCTGCAGGTTAGTTCCAATCACAGCTACTCCTCAACTGTGAGGGTCTTACTTGTAGACAGAAAATGCACCAGCAGTTCCATTGCACCGGAGAAAGGGACTGGAGAAGGATGGCCAGTCCTCTGGTGTCACTGGAGCCCACGATGTGTCAGAGAGAGCCATTAGTCAACACTACACACTGTGCTCATTTACAACACACGGCTGGCATTGAGAGTAAGCGATTTCTCGTTTCCATGAAGAACCCAGCTGGAAACACTCTCCTTTACTAAACTTCTTTAGTACTCTGCATATTCCTTATGGAACTTTCTCTTTGGCCTACAGTGATTTCTGGGCTCCCCCCTCACCAGATTATGAGCAAGATGCCTTCACATCTTTAGATGGTACCAAGGTGTTACTGCATTTGTATTTTCTGTAATACGCAGCACTGGGAGGAAAGCAAAATGCAGTCGTAACACTATCGATCCCAAATTCATCGGTATCTGGACTAAACATAAATAGGCCTCTGATGTTTGGTCTGGGAATCATGTCACTGTTTACATTACACAAAGAAACTGCTCGGAGTTCCTAAAACCCAACCTACAAATTCACTCTCAGAACCCGGCAGGGAATCCTTATACTGTGCGTATAACCAGAAAGGTCACAGAGAGTAAGTCTGTAAAGGAGTCAAGATGCTAACTTTTCCTATTATGTAAGTAAAAGAAAGAATATTTTTTCCTAAAATTTTAAATTAAGTTAATTTAAATTAATATTAAATTAAATTCTTAGTAATTTTAAAAGTAACTTTAAAGTAAATCTTTTACTTTTTGAAAGTTATTTTTAAAAAAGTATAAGAATTTAAACAGATTATTTTGTGAAAACAGTGGAAAATGTTCCAAAATTAATGCATGGATATATATATCTGACCAACCGAACATTTTAAATGTCTTTCAGTTAATCTAGAGAATACTGGTTAAACAAAACAGTTTCATGTTGTTATTAAACCGAATTTCAACTTACCATTTATGTTTATTGCTGGTAATACAATGGACATCTTTGGTCTTGTGGTCTTGTTATGGGTGGTGGCTGGTAACAGCAGGTGATCCTAAGAATAACAAAGAACAGTCTGTTGTGACAAATGGCTTAGTCCTAGAACAGGCCAAAATCAGAGTTTCTAACTTGCCAACATCTCCTTGGGATCATAAAATAAATGACACTTTTTAAACCTGGCTTAGAGGTAATTAACTACAAATCATCTTATGATTCATTCATTCATAATGCAACACACATTTACAGAGTGTCTATCATTACCAAGTGCTATGTAGTATTCTTGGAGTACTTCCACATGATGAGAACATATAAGCGGTGCTATACCATAAAGGGTATTGGTCAAGGAATCAGAATGGAGGCATTTTTTTTTTCACTTTATTTGAAAGAAAAAGAGAGAGAGAGCTTGAGTGGGGAAGAGGGGTGTGTGGGGGGGGGGGGACAGAGAGGGAGAAAGAGAGAGAGAGAGAGACAATCCACACTAACTGTGGAGCCTGACACAAGGTTCGATTCCATGACCCTGGGATCATAACAGCCAAAATCAAGAGTCGGACACTCAACTGAGCCCCAGAACAGAGGGACTTTTAATGTAGTAAAATGAGGAAGCTAGACTAGGTAGTGTCACAAGATACTGAAATTAATCTATTCAACAGACTCATCTTCACTTTTTTCTTTCTTAAAAGAAGAGCAATGTTTCCACTCCCCGAAAATCCCGATCCCAAGCTACTGACACAGAAGATAGAGATTCTGACTGAAGTAAGGTGAGAGCCTGGACCCTTGCCTGCCTAGCCTCCCCTTCTCCCTTTGAAGCAACCAAGCATTAGACGTCTTTGGGTAAGCAACAAGTACGTACCAAAGAAGATGTATAGTTCTTGCCCTTAAAAAGTATACAGTTCACTGGAAGAGCTAAAGAAAAATTATAAGTGCGTGTCTCGCACAATGTTAAAGTTCCAAATGTTATACTGCCAGCTCCTGATCATTTAGAAGTGACCTGTGGCATCTGAAGCCTCTGGTTTCCAGCCACACAAATACCAGAAGTATGAATGAGCCAAGAGGAGTCTGGCTTCAAAAAAGAGGGCGTGTGTGTGTTTTGGAAGAGGTATGTATGTCCGTAGGTATCCTGAAGTAGATTATAAATGACGTAGGACTTTGATATTAACTACTGTGTGAACATCAATAACTTCTGTTCCTAGCAAAAACAGGGACTGTCACAGCAAAGGAAACAAGGAAACAGAAAACAGCATGCATTAGTGTTTCCACGTAGACAGAGCTGACCCTGCTATTAACACCTATTGCCTCCTCGCCCCCCTGCCCCCCAGCTTCATCACCCCTTCGGCAAACTTGCTGCAGGAAAGGGCTCACTACAAGCAGGACTGAACATAGCTGAGGGTGACAAAAATTCAGCGCAACTCAGTTCAAAGGTCGATGGGATTATGAAATGCAGTCATCAGCAAAGCTGAGGGAAAAAATCTAGAATGCAAAAACCCAGTTGAAATGAACATACATGGACAGAACTGTCCAGAACACGTTTCCAGTAACTGCCTGTACTCTGTTTAAGTCAAGGCATTTCTGAGAGAACAGATATTTTTTTAAAAAAGCAGAGGAAAGATGAGTGAGTCTGTTCTGTTGGGTCCAACACGGAAGCATGGGAGATTTTTTTTAAGTGCATTGTTAGACACAAAGATCACACGTAAGTAAGATAACATGATATAGCCAAGAAAAAGAAAAAAGTGCTGATCCTCATGCCATGAAAATTATAAACAGGATAATTCCTATAACTAAAACATTGCTTCAGGGCCCCCCAAATTGAATGAGAAAACAAACCAACAAACTTGCAAGCCCCAAATTAAAGCGACTGTAAAAATAAACACACTTAGATTCCATTGGCCATGGGTTAAGGTCAGGCTTGGACTTAAATCTGAGTTTCCGGCTCAAATCTCGATGCCATACTAAACATTGTTTTTGAACGTGACTTTTGGAACACAATGTCTCCTACTTTCTTTCTTCATTAAATTTCGGAGTAGGTACTTTTGCAGGAGAAAACCAAAAAACACACTGTTATTTATGAAAGAGAAGAATCACATCTTGAATGCAGAACAATTATTACAGTTAACCACCTTTACCTCTAATTATTAAAGTTTGTGCATGGGGGCGGGGATCTATCAGAGTGCTTGTGAGCACAGAGCCGCAGGGGATCAACACTGGTATGGTACAAATTCTAACAGTGCTTATATTAAAAAAATAACGTAGACACACACCCGTCTGGGAGAGTGTTGTTTTCATTTAACTACTTTCTCTTCCTCAAATTAAATGCCCTTGACACAACAGTGAATTTTGAGCCACTTTTTTTCTCCCCAGCTGTGTTCACCCCACTCCTTCTTAACTAGCATATCATTAATTTTATCGATGATATTTTCAGGAACAAAGGAGCTTTATTTTGGCACTGTCACGAATTTTAGGACATCTCCAAATGCACTCCTGAAAAGCTTCTACAGGACTGAGCTACTATGGGGTACCTTCAGGGAGGAAACTTTGCGGACAGCTTTTATCATCAACACGTTGTTATTTTTATTCCCAGAAGTCAGAGAAACGCTGGTGGGAAAACACCAAAACATTTCACTGTGAGAACAAAGCATCAGTTTTCCAATGTTACGCAACATCATGCATGAGAAAATATGCGATTTTCATACAATTCTCCCAGTTCCCTTTTCCAAGCCCTTTGTTAGAAGAAAACCAAAATATTAGTGCATAACGCCGCATCCAAAGTTATGTTTCTTTTTAAGAGGTCGAAAGCACTGGAGACTATCTTACTAAAACAAAAGGACCACATCTGCTCAGCTGAAGGTTACAATGGTAATTCATAATAAAATTAAGGTCCTACTAAGTGTTGTCAAACGTGGATTCTACATGTCTGTGTAGAGTCGAAACTGACCTCAATGTAAACTGACCGCTGAGATTAAATGACCCTTCCCTGTGCCTTCTAAAACTTACCGGCTAATGCCCATGGAAAAACTGAACATTCGTAACTAGTGTGTTTTTCCCACAACTATTTGTGCTAACTGTATTTGTTAGTGTAATTGCATAATTAAAAAAAAAAAACAGAAATTGCTTTTTTAAAACGTGTGAAAAGGAGAACAAGATTTAATAAGATAAAAGTGAATAGTTAAAAAAATCCACTCACTGCAAAACAACCATAAAAGACTGGGGAAAAAAAACCATACGTGTCTGCATTCAGATTGCTTCAAAAGGACCTTTAAGTTCTTATTCTAATTTAAAGGAATTATAACTGACGCTGGAAATTATGGTTGATGCATTATGAGTCCAGTTTACACAAGAAAGGTAACATGGGGTTCTCACAGATCGGGACTTAAAGAAAAGGGGTTCGCCCTACATCAAAACTTGGCCAACAAGTCCACATTCATATAATTAAATGAAATCAATGTAAAATAAATCTTATCTTACAGATCTCCAGCTTTACCCAATTTTGTTAACTCGCAGATCACCCACTAGTCTCTGCTGTACTCGCTAAGACAGCCTCTCCTGTATTAGGAAACTTGGACCTCAGGCTGGAGCCCCTTATCTTTAATAGAAAGGAACTGTATTTAACATCTAACGATGTTTCCCGGGGATGAAAGAGCCAGTCTGCAAGTGGCTGCACCGTGACACCGACCAGCTTTTACTTGGATCAGCGTGGGCCTCAGTTAGTCAAATTTTGCATGTCAGGCTCCTACTAACAACAACGGCCTCTTAACATTTTATATTTGGTCCGTGTCCACTGGATTCCAGAGATGGGCTTGGTTTTCCAATATAAACAGCTAAAACCAGATCAAAACTACAAACAGCATCCATCCTCATCTCAAAAACAGCCTTGTATTAAAGTTTTTCTGATCTATGTTCCTCTCCTGGGGAGCTTTTGTTTTCCAGAACCGCTCTCCCTCACTTCCCTCACCAAGCCTCTTTCAGAGAAGAGCGTATCAAAGCTTGGAAACAGGAGGGCCAAAGCAGCCCCGGGAGGCGGGCCTTTCAAAGCAATTGGTTAAAGTCAAACACTGTGAATTTATGTTGTTTTCTAAGAGCTGGACTGACTGTTGATCGGAACTCAGATGTGCCCATACATTAAAATAATTAAAAAGCAAAGGTAAGAAATTTGAAATCAGGGGCGCCTGGGTGGCTCAGTTGGTTAAGCTTCCTACTTCGGCTGAGGTCATGATCTCTCAGTCCGTGAGTTCGAGCCCTGTGTCCGGCTCTGTGCTGACAGCTCAGAGCCTGGAGCCTGTTTCAGATTCTGTGTCTCCCTCTCTCTCTGTTCCTTCCCTGCTTGTGCTCTGTCTCAGTCTCTCAAAATTAAATAAATGTTAAAATTTTTTTAAAAATTAAAAAAAAAAGAAATTTGAAATCATTAAGATATACAGACACAGTGACATGTCCTAAAAAAAAAAAAAAAGGTAAAAAAACAACAACACAGGTAGTAAAACTAAGTAGAATGTCACCATCTTAAAACAGTAAAACTAAGTAGAATGTAATCATTTTAAAAGTCTATTAAAGTGTCTATGACGTAGGGCTTCCCATTATAGTAAAAACGTAAGCAAAGCACATTACTCACCCCCAAACTAGAAATAGGTAATATAAATAGCTAATATGAATGCAGTATTTGTGCCTCTAATGTACACAATAAAATTACAGACCAATAAAAGGGAACGTTAAGTTGCATCAGCACCATTAGTACGCGTGCCGGCCAGAGGAAGGACCAGTCAGAACGATTAGTGCGCAGTAGCTGTGGAGAGTGAGCCAAGGTTTACATTTGACAAGAGGAAAATTTTAACACTAAGTTCAAACCTGACAAATGCTGCCAAGGTCACCAAAGGAAAAATTAGCTTGAAATCCTAATAAATACAAACTCTTTTTGTTTTAAGATATGGTTCTCATATCAAACTCTGCAGGAGCCCCCAAACTTGCCCAACTGGCCTTGACCTCCCCTTTTATTCACACAAAAAAGTGTAAGGTTGTACCACACCACAAAACTGTCTTTTTTTGTGTGTGTGTGGGCTAAATATCAGT